ATAAGTTAATATAGATATGGAGATTTCTCTGGTAGCTGTGAGTATACGTTAATTTGTTATCATTGTTTCTCCTTACACACTCCTTATATAAACGTCAGAAATCCTAACAGTCGTTACTTTTGTTGTCAAAATCCCATCTGTCGACAATCAGGTTCACAAAAAACGCTCTTCATTTATCTTTCCCAATCTACTAATCCTTACAAAATCTCACTATTCTACTGGCTTTACCCTGGAAGTCATCCTTTTGTAATTAGAATTATTTGAACCTATCTTTACTGTATTTGGTATCCAGACAATAAAGGATAATCTGTTGTAAGTTTCGAATACAAACGAAGCAATACACTGTAATTCATTCCTTTAAAAATTTAACAGCTTCCACAACGAACAATAACAATCTTTCTCACCTTCTTAACTCCCTTTCTATTACTTTGTCACGACAGATGCATGGATTGCATATATAGATAAGTTTACACGAACATTATTTTGCTGATTGCAGATGACCATAGACATCAATTTAATTATAATAATTTATTGTCGGTATGTATTGAAGCGGAAACAATCCGATCCGTTTGAATGTGAAACAAAGACGATTTTTTTTTTGTCTTTCGGTAAACTTTGCGGCATGTCAGAAAATGAAAATGTCAAAGCTTATGCTATTTGTGTTCCAAATTGCAAGTGGCGTTTTTAAGAAAACAATTTCAGGAACTTTTTGATGAGAGTTTTTTGCTCAGTATATTTGCTGTGAAAGCAATTTCGAAACTTTCCTATATAAGAAAGTAGCTTTTATGTTATAGAAAAATGATTATTATCACTGTGATAAGTTGTGTGATACGCTAATAATATCACTTGCTTGTATGGTTTGTTACTTTGAATTGCATCAATTTTTGATTATATCATGTTGAACATTTATTTTTTCCAAACAAGAATGAAAAAATATCAATATCTTCTATAAGCAATGGTGAGATTAAAACTACTACTTGTAAGGAAAAAGAAAAAATAGAAAACATGGGAATTTTTTTGGTCCGCCTATTTTATCGAAGATTGTTGATTTGGTTCACGAGGCTATCAAGCATAATTATGCGTTAATAGCTGTACCCATATATGGATATTATTACAATTAATAATGATAAATTGACTGGTGTTTCCGTTTCCAGTGCTCAGTGAATTCATTTTTCAAAACGCTCAAGAAAAATAAAGCATCTAATCTAATGATCTATTGATGATGATGATGATGATGATGAATGATACTATTTGATCTAGTATTTCCGTCTCCCTATTTTTTCCATCCGATTTTATTATCATCCTTTACTATTTTTTATGATGGTGGATGTATGATTGAATAGCATGTTATTTTCTAATTTTATAACCAATATATTTTATAATCAGTACATACATATTGGAATTCAAATAGCAGGGGAAAAAAAGCTTAGACAGTAATTTCCGAAAGGCAAGAAAAATTAAGTAAAAGAGGAAATGAATAAATAAGCAAAAAACAAGTAAGCGTAATTTTGTTTTGTTTCATTCCCTTTTTTATGCTTGAACATTAATTTAAGCTCTTTAATAATATGATTATTTTATAAGTGGGAAAGAAAAAATATCAAGTAACGTTAGATTTTTTAGTAGCAATGGAATTAATATAATCTAAATGGAAATTTTCGAAAGTTAAACTTTCGGGAAAAAAGGGTGGCAATTAAATGGAATTGATATTAATATCAAGAAATAAAAAAAGGCGAAACTATCTGTCTAATTGGAGAGAGGTTAAAAATTAATCAAAAAAACGAGAAAAGATCTGATCAATTATCATCCACTCTCTTTATTGAAATGTTTATTTGATGGAACCAGGAATATTTCTAAATTTATTTGTCTTTTAATTTTTTTTTTGTGTAATTTCAGCTTATCAAAAAAAAGAGTATGCGAGAAAAAATGCAAAATTATATTATACGTTATCATGCCACATCATGCAATACAGTAAATGTTTCCAAATTAATTTTTGGTTTTTTCTCGCACCCTTCGATTCGATTACGTTCAAAAATTTTCGTTAGATGAAGAAAAAGTGGCAATTTTCATCCCCATAAGTTTGAATGTTTTGATTTCCTGTTTTTTCTTTTCATTTTAAAATTAAACTTTTAAAAACTAAAACTAGAACTTTTAAAAACTTACATGATTTAATTTGAATAAACTGAACGTTTGAATCATTAATTCCAACCACAAAAATTCGCATTCACTAATGTTAATCATGACAAAATTATATAAATGTAATAATCACTGATTATTGATAGCATTGTAGTCACCCGGAGCAAAACCCTCCAGTTCCCATTTGTAATCAGGTTTTCAACAATGAATTTTTGTGCATGCAATTGAAACAATGAAATCTGAATCATCAAAATCTTTAAAAATATGTCAAATATTTTTAAATGTTGGAATCTTCCAAAAAAATAGTCAAACTTACTAAATCTTTTCAAATTTTCTAATTTTCTTTAATTCAATCATCGTTAATATGAAAACAGAAAATAATGATGACGTACAGATGAACAAAATGGATGTGATTGTGTCATTCTCATTAATCTATTAATCTGAAAAACGAAAGATCAATCAACTTTCTTTTCTTACTGAACTGCCATTTTAACTCTTCATCTAAATTACAAGTTCATCCAATCAGAAAAGTTTATTGATTGATGTCTTGTTTACATTTATCTAAAATTTATCAACATGTTCATTTCTTCCATAGAATTTATTAATTGTATCATTAGTTCATATCAAATTCTAATACAATCATTTTCTATAGAAGCATTTTCTATAGGTCAATACGGGTTATAGCTGTAAAAGATTAAAGTCAAGAAGGATATTTATTCAATTAGCATCGATGATTCGCTGAGATGGACTGTTCATGTGTATTTTAAGTCAATATGGCATCATCTCAAGACTTCAAATGACTGTTCATACCGTTACGAAAAGTGTATTTGACAAAAAGCGCTTTCAACATCTGGAAGTCACCTCGCCTACTTCAATCAACTAATTTACAGCGTAATCATTAACCAACTAATTTACAACGTAATCTCTTTAGGTTTTTCTGACTCTTTCAACTATTTAGGGAACATTTCAGAGTCTAAAACGTTGAATGGTAATTTGTCACATATAATTACACTTCAGTTTGAAGTTATCACAAAATGATCTTGTCATCTTTCCAACATTTTTCCGAATTTTCCGACCACTATCTTTCATATGTTAAACAAACGCAATAGCTTGATACGCCTCTTATACGAGTCATATTGGACAAACAGATGAAAATCCTCAATCCAAAAAAAATTCCCTTTTTCATATGATAGCGTAGTGATGGACATCAAACAACTAACTTTGTCAACAAGCCATTATAAATTTTAAAATATACGTGTAATAACGTACTTGTCTTTTTACAGTTAAATAGTATTTTGTTTGACAATAAGCGCTTTTAATGCATTCATAATTTTGAAGTCATCGTTACAATTAACAAACACGATACAAAGAATGATATTGGAATCCCCGGCATTTGAGCATTTAACGGAATTCACTGATAATTAAGAATAGGGAAGAGAAGAAAGTGGAGAGACGGAACTACATTTGCAACCCACCAGTAAAAAGTATCGTGCGTCAGTCCTTTACAATATTAGTATTATGGATCACGCCCTCTGGAAGATAGCGGGTAGAGTAAGAAATAGGGAGAGGAAGAGGGGAAATGGATGGGTAATGAACAGGAAATCTGGAGCGAAAATGAATAATGGTGCGTTACGGAAACCGGTAACGTTGAAGCATAAGGATAAAAAAATACTGAGGAAACCGTTTGCACATTTAACGGTATCCAAATTTGAAGTCATATTAGAAATTAGCTTTGACACCGAGTGAGAAACGGTTCAATGAAATCAGTAAAGATAATAATTTGTTAGAAAAATTTTTTTTTAATTTTTATATAAAAATTTTTTCTTTTTTCAACAATTTCTTTTTTTCATCTTATCTATTACGTTGAACTTATTTCAGTTCTCACCTCGATGAGATATATCAATTCTAACATATTAATTATATTGTTGGATAAAAATCCAAGATGAAGTTTCCAGTTGACTAGGAATTGATACAAACGAAAAAAAAAAGGAATACTGTAATATTATTCACAATTTAAGCCATAACAGGAAAATGTATTGTTGCCAGCAAAAAAAGAATCATATACCCAATTTACCATTTTATAAAGTGTACAATAACTTCGTTTTTTTTTAAAAAAAATATCAGTAGAGTCAATAGAATTTGTGGGAAAAAAGAACATCAGTAATACAATTTAAATATAAAATAACATATGGTAATGCTATCACTCGTCTCCGAGAATTTGAGATCCTCGTGGGTGGAGAGAAAGGTAAACATGATTTGAAGTTATTGAATTTTGCACCATTTATAGGGGGAAATATATTAGGCAGTTTCAAGTAACAAACTCTTAAGCTGATTCCCTAGTTCCCTATATCACTATACTTCATTAACTATCCCACCACTGAAATTTAGACCAAATTTTTTCTTCCCCTCCCCTCCTCGCCTTACTTTTTCTTATATTTTACAACTTTTAAATGCTCTTATCTCTTTCTCATAATTGCTATATCTGATAATTATCTAATTCTTAAATTTTGGAATCAATTTGTCAAATATTGGAGCAGACAAAAATTTAGAGATTTCAAGTTTTATCCAAAAAAGAAAAATTTACCCTTCCCCAAAAAATACTAACTTTGAAATTTGAAGATCAAGATGCCTTGGAAATATGAAGTTGTGCATACTTAAAAGGAAAAATTAAAGACGAAAAAGAAATACCTCGGAGAAACCATTTTGCCTGCATATAGAAGAGTTTCCATTAAAATTATCCCGATAATTGAGATAAACAAAAAAGAAATCCTGATATAATGAGAGAAAACAGAATGAAATTAAGCACTAAAAGTTGCCTAATAAGCCGGTACAGTTGGAAAAACTTCTGTGATGGGCATCCACCTATAGCAATGTGCAAAATAAGAGAGAAAATTTACATATTTATCAAAAAAAGGTCAAAACCGATGTCGGAATCACAGAAGTCTGTTTTACAATTTAAATTCAAGAAATTCTAGTCCACGAAAAATGCCTAGACCAAAAAATAAAAATTAATGGCACTTGGATCAATTTCTAGTAACGAGAATCATGAAACGATCCGTCCGCAGGCTCTGGTGTTCCTCGCATTTGAGTGATAACCTGTACTGCTGCACGTGGATTTTCATGATCACCGTTCTCTTCCATTGGAGTATTTTCGGCTCCTGCCCCACCAGATGTTCCAGATGTCCCCGTAACTACCGCAGCCACTCTGCCAGCTCTGCCAGATATCACTTCAAAAGTGTCGTCTTCATCCGGTGCAGCATTCTGGCGACAAATTGGGCATGTGCGATTGCCCCTCAACCATTTATCAATGCATTTTAGATGAAAATGATGTGCGCACGGCAGCATGCGGACCAAATCGCGTTTCTCAAAATCGCACTGACAGATTACGCACACTTTCTCCATCAGGAGTGCCGGGTCAGTAACACGGAACGACTTTAACTGATCAATTTCGTTCCTGAAAATGCGAATTAGTAATCAGCCTACCGTAGGATCCACAAAATTTATAATCAAATATTAAAGAAATCTTCCAGCATAGTTTTTATTCAGTTTTGAAGTAAAGCGCAATTGTCTTTTTTCCGAGTATCTTAGCTTATACAAATAAAAGTTTACTTTGTCATTCCTTTAGGTGGTAGACGAGCTGCATTCATCTGAGGTGCCATACGATCAAAGATATGGAGAACAGCTGCTTCCCACGCACGGAACGGAATCTCACCATTTGCCAGTCTTTCCAGTTGCTGATGGTAACTGGCTGCTGATACAGTCTCGATGGTACTTTGAAGCGCCGTTTGTTGTGGCATCCATTCCGCAGCCATCGTTGGAACAGCAACAGGTCCCTCAACCTGAATTCAACATATCCCGATACCCATGGCTACCTGATTGATTGAAGTGATGTTAATGGTCTTACCTGGTATGATTTAAATCATACCGCTTACATATAAACAAACAATCTGCAGAAAAAAAAAGCAGAAACAGGCGGTACATACTAAAGGAACGGAATTGTGGTTGTTATCTGCATAATAATCGATAGGATGGCGAGCCCGATTTGCCAACATCTGTGTCGCAGTAGCCGGATCAACGCCAACCTGAGCAGCTGCTTGAGCAATTCGAACACGGGAAGCTACTGACTCCATTTGCGCGTTAATCGCTCTTGGGAGATACGAAAAGCCGGGATATAAACGGAAGTGCGCTGTACTGTGATCCCAATTATTGCCAGCGTTCACTGAAGATGGAATTGCAGACTGTGGCCTGTAAAATGACCCGCCTTACAATATGATATGAATGTTTCGCGAAAATTTCATCAAAGTTTTCAAACCAAAATATCACACCACAATGTATAGCTCACTATGACGTATTCACATACTCTTAATCGTGACTATTCATGTATTTGTGACCTGGGGTAAGAATCAAAAATACTACACCACAAAAGTATGGGGTAAGAATCAAAATCTCACACCACATAAGCCTGGGTAAGCACCAAAATCCTACACCATAAAAGCTTGGGATAAGATATACATATGATAGGTTCAAATGAAAATCATTTTCCACTTATTCATGCCAATAACTCAACTATTAAATCAATTCTAGCAAAATGAGTAAAAAGAAAAACAGAATTTTTAGCTCACACAGGCATTTCATCCAATGAACGCTGAATACCAGAATATTCGTCCGGGATATCATTTATCAATGGTGGAAGAAAATGACGATCCGCAAATGGAATATCCTGCGACACGTATTGCAGTGGTGTTGTTGGCAGGCGTAAACCCATCAGTGGCTGTATAATATAATATGCCTGTATATTTTGATTGCTAAATTTAATTAGCAACTTTTTATGTATTATCGTCATAATGCTTAGAAAGTTGCTGCACTTCTTTTCTTTTCAATTATACCCCTTAAATATCATAACAACAGCTCAAATAAATCTCTCAATCATGAAAATTTTATGAAAATCAAAAGAAAAAAAAAGGAAACACTAACCGGATGTGGCAGAAAATATGCATAATTTGATGCGACCGAGGGAGGTCCATGAAGGTGAAGAGCGATTGGAGTCTGTAAAATACCTGTTTGAAATATGCATATTATGGCACATTTATAATCGGTTGATTAAATCAAGTTGTTGTCAATGCATACTTGTGACATCATACCGAGCGGTATGAAGTTGTCGTCTCTGTCAAGAAGAAAAAAAAAAACGGAACTATTTAAGAGAGAGAGAGAAAGAGAGAGAAAAAAAAAACAAACCACATTATGTACAATAGACGTGCTCGGCAAAGAAGCAAGCTGAGCGTGAATTTGAGGAGCGATAACCTGAGGTCCATAGATCGGCGTTGTAGGTGGTTGTACGGCAGCAGCGGCAGTTGGATCATAACCCGGAGATGAAGGTATGAGGCACGTTTGCTCAACAACACCTGAAATTTAACAACTTTTTTTCTAATATTATTTTCAATTTTACTCCAGATTTCGCTTGAAATTTCATCCTTTTCCCTCCTAAATATTTATCGATTAGTTAGTTCCATGGCCATTTCCTGGAGCTGATTTTTTTTAATACTAGTTAGCGGTTAGTTTTCTAGCTGAAAGACTAGCAAACGGATTGATTCTGATCCTTTTAATATGGGTAACATTTAAGTGATTGAGAGAAATCGAATTTAATTTATATTTCTTCAACTCCAACCCCACAAATAAATGTCTTTTTTTTTTTTCCTTTTCTTTCCCATTACCTCAACGATATCCAACATCTACCAGTTCTCACAATGTACCACGGATTTAGAAAGACTATGTGAAAGGAAATGAAAATAATGTAGGGAAAAACACGAAGGGATATGATTTTTTTTTTTTCCACAAAATACGATAAAAGAAGCATGATAAAGTTGTGATGAACACTTACGAACATTCTGTAGCATTAAACCACAGTTAACGCAGATATAGTACATGTCTACCGCACGATCAAACTACCTCTCATAGAATGAAGTGAAAGTGTTAACATACGCGTTTATATACACAAATAAAATGCAAATCATAGAATTACACAAAATTCTAGACAGCTATTTTTCGAAGAGTTTTTTTTTCTTTTTTTTTCCTCATCATTTATCCATTTATCATACATTTGGTTTAGGCTTATTCTTCTTCAAAATCATTCTCATGATTTGGATAGATTTCGCTCAAAAATCTTAGATCATACCCAAGTTCTAATAAATCATCGAAATCTACAATTCCATAAATAGGCGTTTTTTTTTCTCACTATCTCAACGACGAAAGCAAAAAAAAAAGAAAAAAAATTTCAGAATCTATGAGGTATCCTTTTTTTTTCTATTTCTTTTCATGAAATACCAATAGTCCAAGAGAAGACTTTACTCAAAAATTCTCTAAAATATGAATCAGAATGGCCTTACGCTTGGATTATCTTGATATTCCATGGAATAATCTTAAGTTTAACAAAATTCAACATCTAGAAATGTTGAATTTTGTTAAATTTGGATTATTTCGAAAATTCCTTTCGTTTTTTTTTCTCAAAATAAAAATAAACTTAACATCGATTCTTTTTTTTTCAGGATACTAATTAAAATAAATTAGCGGTAATGAAATAACGAACCGTTAACGCAGCAACTGGGAAATGTTGGCCTAATATATGATGATGCATCCGTGTTAGCATTACGACGACGGCGACTTGCCGAAGGAACATCTGCAGCCGGTTCCACATCTGCCGTACGCTTACGTGATGTCTCACCAGATGTTGCTGTTACCGTTGACGTTTCTGCAAATTTGCAACAAATGAAAAATTTTTTTTATAGTAATAGTTTTGGAAGAATTTTCACGCTTTAAATTTGAAATATATCGACTATTGCGTGCGTTATATCAGAGCGAATAGGATGCAATTTCACTATCATGATTAATTTCCACAAATTTTGCTGTTAACTATGGCGCTAATTAACTTTTATCGTTAAAATTGGAAGTACGAAAATTCATCTTTGAAAACAGATGATACCGAAATCTATTATCAAGATTACCACCAACAAGCTTTACTACTATCAAAATGAATTGTCGTAAACTTAATCATTCAATCGTAAAGTATCAAAATTTCTCAACAGATGGCATTCCAGAAATCTATATGCAAAATCAATGCCATCATAGGATAGTACGAAGATATGCATATCCCAAATCATCATATTTATAACAAAATATGCTCTTAAAGGTTTTTAAAACTTTTACGAACTTAATGCAGGACAGAATTTCGACAATTTTTTTTCCATCCTTTCATTTTTCGCGACAAAATATTTTGTTTTGCTACCCTAGTTTTCATATTTCGATGATATATTATTTTTGCTTTTTTCATCGATAACTTTTACTGGTATCTCATTTCTCATCCTTTGATTAAAGCAATAAAATCGGCTACATCAAAGGATGATTTTTACTGAAGGTGGAAGTCCAAATTAGTCATTATATGCTTCAAACTTCGGAAAGTGTAAAGTTTACTGAAAAAAAAGCTACAACAGAGATATACAGCAATGTTACATCATGTGAGCAATTTCAAATTTTAAACTTTTTTTCAAATTCGAGTTCTTTTGTAAATTTAAGTTCTTTTGAAGTTTTTTTTTCCTGAATTCATGCAAGCATTCAGGAAAAGAAATAACGGAAAGTTCAAAACTTCAAGGAAGTTTTAATGTACCAAGATGCTTGTTTCAACTTTTTAGGTATCTAGTTCTCTCTTATCATTTAAATTTCCGTTTAAAGCAGGTAAGAAACCAGTAAGTACAATCAGGTAAAAATCAAACCTGGGATTTGTTGAAAGACGAGGCCAAGATGAAGGGCCGATTCGACTTCTCTACCCGACATCTCGTTTTTCTTATAAAATTTCAAAAATTTGATTTTAAAGCATCACACATATCAACAGTTTGCAATAATTCCTATATGTACCAGCAAATAGCAGAAGAAGTAGTAGAGTTGGTTTCCAGAGATATTTCTGACTAGATGAAGACACATCTGAGGGCACCGAAACCAGGTGCACCGTTCCCACCCTGAAATCTTCAAATTTATAATAAATAATTTACGATAATTTCGATGATTACAGAGAGGTATATATAAATATATATAACTATAGAACGTTTACAGTCACAATGGTAAACAAACAAATTAAATCTATTTAAACATCGAGAAATACGAAAATAACCCTCACTAAACTAGTAAGGATACTGTGACAGATATTCTTGACCAATTTTGTCATCAACAGTAAGAGTTAAAAATTAAAATTGACAGTTTTTGATGTGACGACAACAGTGACCTTAGAATACTAATATCGTTAAGCTTTCAAATCATGATATCACGAATCGTTTGTATCCATTTCAAATCTAAATGCAATAATCTAATACAACTAAATTTTGTTGACATGTGAGAAAAATATATATCCTAAATTTGATCAATATAATAAATGTGTTCATATCTTGTCTCACTGAAATATGAAATTTAAAATAGTAAATACTATAATTCGAATACTTCGTATTCATCTAGATAGTGAAGAATAATGTGTACTTTTTTTCCCATAATATTTCATATTGCCTGTAGAATTCAACAACAACAACAGTAATAATAATAACAATAATAATTAATAATAATAATAATAATAACAATAATTAATAACAATAATTAATAATAATAATAA